GTAACGATAAGTTTAACATAATATTTCACCTTTGCTTCTCATAATATATTTATACATTCAAATTTTTATGATAACTACCTATAAAATATGGAATCGTGTTTAGGCTGTGACATATATATATAATAAGAAGCGAATTTTTCGTTTATATAATAAATAACTATAAGTATAAAAGATTACCTAGTCGATATTTTGTAGTTTTGAACAAATATTTTGTAAGTTTCTTATGTTCTTTCAAAAGTTTGAACACAAGAAACAGCACGGTGCAATCATATTTTGATGGATAGCGTTCTTAGATACGCTATTTACGCTTTACATCACCAGTCTCCTCGGTTTAACTTTTAAACCAGCTTCCAAGAATAAAATGTGGGTGAATTTTCAAGTTAGATATTATGTATAAAATGTAAAATACCTATGATGCTAAAACTGTAAAAAAAAAAATCCAGGTATTGGCAATAGCATATTTTGCTTAATCATAAACGTGTAATAAAATATCAATTCAGAAAATATTTGTGACTCGTATCCATTGTTGAAATTCGTTTAGTCGTTTTACCACTTTTACATTTATAATTACAAACATTGATGAAACGACATTTAAAATTGATACACAAGTCTGAAAACACCCTAAAAAATTGCTATAACAATAATGTAAAATTCGGTCGCGAAATTTATTCGCGTTAAAGCCCCCAAGCTTAAACATCCATCGTTGTTTAAATATTTATAATGTATTGCAATTTGTAAGTTTAGCGGTCAACGACGCGTTTCTCTATATAGTTGGCAGTGACATAAAAGAACAAGAGCAGGACGTTAATTATTATACAGTGAAACGCGAGGCGGGGGTCAGGCGAGACACACCGTTTAAACCTATTGTATACATGTTATTTATTACGTATAAATATAGTCAAGAGCTTTTTTTTTTATATAGCCAAGATCTGGGTGAAGAGTGCCGACGAGCCATGTAGTGTGTTACAAGTATATACACATAGACCTCATCGTTTCCTTTTTCGTCGGCGGCCGTTACTTTTGTGTGGCCAATAAGGTTTTTTTATGTATTATTATGCCTCTTTGTGTGCGTTTCGTTCCCGGTTGAGAAATACTTATAAATTATTTCATTCTTATACGGTGGTTCGTCCGAAAATGGTCCTGAAACTTTCACATTTATTATTGTGTTGTGATCGTTTGTGAAAAATAAAACGACGAATAACGGCGGCTTGGTATAGTTTATCGAAAAAACAGGTAAACACCATTGTTTCAAAACGCGTTGAGTGTACTTGTGTATTATATATATGTATATAATAAATGTCTGTGTGTGTGTGTTTTGCTCACGTTTGTCCTAGCACGTAGGATCCTGAAAAAGAGCATTTTACTTTATTATTATTTTTTTGTAACCCCGAGAGTATAATACAACGCTAGTACAACCGAGCCGTAGTGTATTGCGGCCGGTCCTTAGTATAATAATACTAATAATGTATTATTTATCTATATAGCTGTTACGGATTGATATAAGTTCGAAAGGGCAACGAGAAAGTGGTTCGATTTGCGTATGACGTTTTTCGCACGACGCCTTTCGCCGATCAGCGATCACGACTACTATATACTAGAAACTACATAGGTATACTTAACAATGTGTTAATATCGTATTTAATGTTTTATAAATGTAGTTTAATGCGTGGAAATTAAATTTATCGCCGATGACGATTAATATAAACATTATGACCGGTAGGCAGGCACTTGTAAACGTAAAATATCAAATCACTTTTACGGTGGCCGCCGCCATTGCATCGGGACTCGGCTATGTGTCTTTAAGTACAGCCTATACATAGTGTGTGTGTTTCATACAAATATTTTTGCATAACATTAGGTACATCTGGACGGCGGGGCGACCTCAAGAGTAGGTATACACTGCGCTTATTACGGGGAAACGGGTTTGGCTTTTCGTTTTACAACAATATTGGAAGTATACCGTCGGAAGGGTGTACACTGTACATACACCATATTATGTAGGTATTATAGGCGCTCGCGAGACAAGACTACCCACGCCAATAAATGGTAAGTTGGTACATGATTCGACGATACGGTGAGCGACGACCTTCCACGTCCAAGTCGCAAAGACAGATGTTCCTCTCGGCGTCCGTGACCCCAACCCAATCGCATTACATTGTATTTATTCTTATCATCATCATTGCATTATAATATTGGTCGGACCGTTTGTAGTCCTGACTTACACTACTGATCCGTAAATGTTTTTTAACCGAAACACACTCCCAAATTTAGTCATATCCATCGGACGGCCTTCGAGTTTATTCAACAATAATAATAATAATTTAATCGACAGGCCGCTGAGTGATTAGGAACTGAAATTATCACCACGTGCAATACGGACAAAGTGGAGATGACTATTTAGTTTTATAACTAAATTACAGACTGCAATGGCGTATATAACATTTTTCTTACAAGGATGTTCTAAGGTTATCATTCACCTCCTCCCTTATACTAATATTCTAAAAAAAAAAACAAATATTATATATTCAATTAAAATGACTAATGTTCAAATTTTAAAATAAATAAAATTTCAAGCGTCGACAATGTTTTGTCAGATCATTGATAATTTATTCTGTTGCCACAGGAGTGTATCACTGAGCTTAAAAATTGTTTTTCAATTTGATTGATTTAAAAAATAAACAATGAGATTACCCTCCGGCCTAATTTCGCCTCTGGTTATATAAGCACCTGTACATGTTTTGATTAAATAACCACTAGTATGATATTTCAATTTTCATCAGTTTTAAAAATAAAGAAACTTATTTAGATACTCTCTACTTACGGTAAAATATAATCTATTTAAGTTTCACGTTGTAAGTTAAATGGTTACAGTTAGTTTTATTTTAAAAACTAATTTTTATAGTTGAATTATTTGTAAAAATTATTTGTGTAATTATTTAAAATTGTAGTGTTAGTGTTTTTGGTTTGTGCATCGCATCTTACATTCCACCATAATATTTTGGTTTCGACCCAATTACATCATTGATGTTATTTAAAACAATTTACAACATTCAAACATAGGTGGATTGTTACCACTAGTCAAAACTTTTTAACGCATTATAATGACAATGTATTATAAATATTTGATTTGAGAAGGGAACATCTCTTTGAATATATCAATTATATTTTTCGTGACCGTGACTATATCAGTAATGAGTACGTTTATTCTCTAAGACAAGGTACTTTAAAAGGATTAAAATTAATAAAAAATGTATTATTACAAAAAAAAATAAAAATTGTATTGAGGTTTTATTTTTTTTTGAATACTTGGTTTCAATAAAACTGCAATTCGACATTTTTGAAATCATGTTATAGTAATACACGTACAACGTTATCCGTTATTTGACATAATTCCTTTTTAACGAGTTGACTATTAATTACAACAAAATCAGAGGGGAAAAAACGACTCATCAAGTTACAAACTAGTGACTAGTTACTTTTGATACATTTCCGACCCGTTACTTTTTAGCTTGAATACTTGGTGCCGCACAATTTAACGCGTTAAAAGTTTTTCGCCAGTTGTTGTGCATCGCTTGTGACACATTTCATAAATTAAACAGTGCCTCGTTGAGCTGATGCAAACGCTGATGATGGATATAAGTTTGCTAGGTATGGATTCGTTGCGCGAATCACTATAGAAGTACTAAACTAAAAATATATTATATTCGTCGGACATAGTCTCTTATAATGCGTTATTTATTCATAGAAAAAATTCCGACGGACTGTATAGCAAATCGTATTTACTGTCGCCGGACCTGTTAAAAAAACAAAATGTTTAATTGCCTAGAGGCTTTTATCAGAATGTTTTAAATTATTTTCCTATCCATTAAAATCTAGCATGTGCGTATGCGCGTGCGCGTGTGTGTGTGTGTGTGTGTGTATGAATAATACATTATAATAATATAATATAGTATCCATTCCTCCCTCCATTCTCCGATATTAGTAACACACGTGTTGGTCGCTGTTTTGAAATCGAAAAATAAACATAATTACACCTATCGGGTTTCTGTGATTGTATATCTATAAATATTAGGATAGCAAACAGACACACTAGATGTATGTTTTTTCTTAAATTTAACCTATATCTGGAAATGATGTTAAAACAACTCCTAGTGTGATCATTTAATCCGAACCGACTCTGGTTTAATCTTAATAATTATATACGTTTGACTCGTCGATTTTTTTCTCTTTCATAAACAAACAAGCGCAACTCGATGCGTTAAGTAGATTGTTTTTATTTTTTTGCAATAGGAAACGTATAATAAGAATGTGTATTTCGTTTGTCTGCGTGTACTTGATCCACATATTTTCAATCAACCACGCCATACTTACAATCCGCTAATTCATCTCGACTTGTTTAACTCCAAAGAACATATTACACACGTCACGTGTATACCCAATTAATATGTATATATACCCTTACCCGTAATACGTTGAATAATATTATACGACTGTATAAAGACTATGAACATATATATTATATTATACACTTCTCTCGGGTACTTGAACATCAAACGCATTTTATTTCTCTCCGTGCGCCGTCTAGGTGTTTTGATATATAATACATTATGCGCACATGTGTAGTTTTTATTTGCTCTGCCGGTGACCCCTTGCCGGTCGAAGCAAATATGGTATTATAAGCTGGTTAGTTTTAAATTCGATCTAACCGCTCGATCGGTTTATGAACATTACTACATAGATACTGGTGTTTTTTTAAAAATGTAATACTATGCTATTTTCAGCACAAGTATTTTAAAAATTCATTTCAAATGCGCCAGACATTTTTCTTGGGTGAGACAATATAGGGCAACATCAAATTTGAATGTGCACTCGTAGACCAACACCACCCTTGTTTTATAAACAGAATATAATAAAAAGTTGACCAACTAAGTGTGGAAACGCTCTTAGTTTGTTATAATATTTTTTACAACATGATTATTGATTTTATTGTTTTCTCCCAGAAACTGCGCCATTGTCAGCACGTCCAATCGGCGGTCGCGGTCGACTTAGACAAGATCAGAGGACACCTGTACGTTTTGGATGCAGGATACGAAGAATGTCAGCCCAAAGTGGTGGTTTACGGCTTGAAAGCTTTCAAAACGGTATGTTTACCCTAGTGTGGTAAGGCGCATTAATAAAAATAATATAATAATGGGTGCTGTACGATTGTTCAGGTTCAATTGGCGGAACTCGGAGGAGCGAACGTGTCGGACATGTCTACTTTGGCTGTGGACGCCAGACCGTTAAAGGGAGAGACCAGAGTTTATATCGGTAGCAGGAGAGGAGGATACATCACGGTATTCGATCCGGGAGAAGGCGGTTGGCACAGAATTTCCCTAAGCTCTCTCGATGGGGAAAATGAAGTGCCCGTCGAATTTTTGGCCGTCTCCAAGCTCCAGTCGTTAGTTTATTTCACATCGGCGCTATCCCACAGCCTGTATTCCGCGTCTCTGAGGGATCTCAGGAATTTGACCTCTTATGTCAAGCCCGGAGTAAAGGTATTCATAGAGACGCCGTGTAATCCCTGGATACAAGGGGGTGATTTTTATTTCAATTTGTATTATTTTTTACCGGAATGCTATTCTAGCGGCGATTCCAAGCGTGTCGTTTGCGCGTTTCTACCGGGGAATGCCGGCCAATTGACATTCCCAATGTAATACTACACGCTATATATATATATATATATATATATATATATATATATATTATACACAACACCACCGCCACTACTGTAACCACCACCACCATTACTCCTTACACCTGTACCCTAAGCCGTCCAATCGACACCAATGTATAAAGCTCCTTTGTTTTTCACTGCAGCGCACGTTTAACAAAACCGTAGAGTTCACGGGGAGAGGTCGATTAAGGGGTTCAACATAAGCAATAAAAGGTCGTGTCAAAGTTAAATTAAAAATCAATTACATTTGCGACAGATGCGTTTTCTTAAAATCAATTTCAAAGTACGCGCTGCTCACTGGTACAAATTCCGTGAAACCTATATCATTATATAGATTGAACTATATAATAATGTTAGTTTTTTATTATTCAGATTCCCGTGGTTGATTCAACTTAAATTATTAGAACTCAGAAGCAGAAGTTGATTTTTTAATGTAATAATATGGATTTATTACTGTCGAATATTTTATCGAGTACTAATTGATTTAATATGAAGTATAGTTTATGAACAACTTTTTGTATTAAACATGAATGTTTTTTTTCATGTGAAAGTTCTTTACATTACTTGCACATATTTATCATCTTTGACAACAATATTTTTTCGATACTTATTTACGATTCTTTTGATAGAGAAAGAGGTTTTATTTTTAAATTACTTTTTAAGAGAAGTTTACAATTTCGACGCGAACAGTAACCAACGAAGTGTATTATAGACTAACTATTGTTTTTATGACAATTTTTTTTTGGATTTCGTTCCACCATGAAAAAAAAATATATTGAAAATATTAATATACATTCATAAATTATAAAAAATCTGAACTCTATTTTATATATTCTCAGACCAGAGGTAAATATTTGTACTTTTATATAATAATTATAAATTCTAAAACTGAAAAGTTAACGATGTACGGATCGAGAAGTTTTAAACGAACACTAGACCCGTTGTCACCCGAGAAGTAGAGAAATACCTACTTAGACTCAGAGCATTTAAAATAATCAATAACTGTAACAATCTTGTCAATTAAACGACTTAGTGTTTGATGCGCAAAACGCACCGGTCACTTTGTGCATTACATATTTTATGAATTCCATTTATGGCACAAGTAATTTAGGTGCTGCTTGGTATGTACTACCCTGAGTACACCTGACCTTATACCTACTCAAATATTTAAATGTCCGAGGTATACAGTCTACTTGACATTTATTTTGGTTCTATATACTTTCGTAGCTTCAATTATTAACAATTATTAAATTATTTTTTTTATAGAGAATGCATTTCGTTTAGCTATTAATGAATTGTAATACCTCGCGGGAGAAGCGAGTGCAGAATCGTTTGTATAATATAATTTTAAGGATAATGTTTATCAGTTATTTGGTACTCACATAAGTCAATGTAGAGAATGAGGACGTAAAAAATATAATTAGGAGATATACTAAACAAAAATTCAAACGATGACTACGTCGTTATTTTTTGTTTTTCTTAGGTTAACATGTTTGGTCGCTTCTCGTCGTACCTACATCCATAATTGCATTACTATAGAGATTTTTAAAAACTAATTTTTGTTTAGATTTTGTAGCGTGAAAACGAAATTGTAAATGGTGAGTGGGCCTTGTCCTTGACGTAATGCAGTTGAAATATACCATGATTTTTCGTTTTAATATTTTTAAGACATGCGTCATTGCAAGTTAGTACTATAATATAAGATCTCACGTGTTGTAGGTTCAATAGGAAATTGTATAAAATATAATAATGTTGAAAGTCATAATTGAAGTGGTGAACGTTTTCCTATAAAAATAATGAATTTTGCTTCTACTTTTCATAGGTCTTAATAATATTGATGTTTGCACATTATTATCATTACTCATTCTTTTGCGTTTCTATTATATTTAAACTTTATAGAGCGGCGACACGATTCCCGGCGAACTTCCTGTGCGTTGCGAGGGCACCAAACTGGGAATATCCAGAGGGTTGTACGTGGACATTCAAGGTGGCACGAACTACGTTTACGCCCGGGACTTTGCGGCTGTCAGGTATATATACGACTTAACGCCGTTCTCCGTTATATTATGACGTTTATAAACCCCTAGATGAAATATACTTCATTTCATAGTTTATATTATATGTCTGTAACACATAAAAACAACCATTTTCGCCACAGGTGGACTCCCAGCATGGGTTTGTCGGCCGAGAAGCATACGGTGATGTTACAGTCTCGAGATCAGTTGCCGGCCGTCGTCAAAATTTGTGCAGACAATACTTACTTGCAAGTATGGGCAATCAATGGAAAACCCAACGCCGACCATCGGTACACGGTCAAAATTAATACGCTTAACTTTTGACGGGGATCGATTTTGAGTCGAACATGTGCCGGACACGGAAGAAGTCCTAGAAGTGGTTTTACACAAGGTAGAGCAGACCTCGCCGCATCTTAAGAACAAAAATCCCATCAGAGTTTTATTTTATTTAAATTTACATTTATTCAATCGCTTATGCCATCTCTGCTTAAAAAAAATTGTGTAGCCTATCTATTGATCATTAGTCGCGCACTACCTTATTGTGCATTAGGAACAACTATAACTAATAGTACCAATCAAACGTAAGATTGTCTAGATGTAAAACGTTTTTAATGTAAATATAAACTGTATAAAGTATAAGGAATCTCATTGTATATTTACATGTTAATTTATTAACCAAGTACATTACCGGTGGATTTCTCTTCCACTGATTCTATGATAATTTGAAAAGCCTCAGGCTTTAGGGCTTCTCATTTAATTTTCTTTTAATAAAATGTATAGGTAAAAATTAGATCCTGGCATGGTTCGTCGTCCTCCTGCCCCGGCCAGACCCATACTGATAAGAGATAATAATATAATATAATATTTTATAGCAATAATAATTATTGTGTTATCGTTTGGTTCTATGCAGGACAAAATTGGGCTTAACTTGTATCGATCTTTAATGATAATCTTGTGTGCTCTGTAGACATGCATAATAAATAAGTTACCCTTTATCGTGCGCACTCAGGTAAAAACCAAGGCGATACGAATAGTTTATCCGTTGTTTGGTAGTAATGGCGAACCGTTAATTAAGTTTATGTGTAAAGTGTCTCTCCACAATATCTTTGTATTTATGCTAACCCTTAGCTACAAACGGTGTTATTTATAGCTTTTACTATTCAACGTTATAGCGCTATACTTAAACCTATTAGTCATTCCTAATTAATTAAATTAAAAAGCTAGCGACATATTACTATTATAGTAATTTAATATTATTGCAGTATATTGTAATTTGTATTTCGCCGGCTGACCTGTTTGTTTTCCATTTTGCTCATCCCGTCTGATTTATTAATTTGCGTTATTATTATTTGTTTTATTAAAACCCGAGCATGTAATAATAATATTTTCCTTCGGTTTTTATGCATTTTTTTTTTTTGCATACACGACGATGATGATGAAGCAATAAAAATATTCAGTTTTCCGTTACATGGAAAATCCATAGAGCTGATTGTAAAAAAGTAGCAAAAAAAGGGAAAAAATCCGTCGGAATGTATTGTGCTTATGGAAATTCCTAAACCCAATAACCTCCCGGATCCTCCATTATGTTAAAGTACTGGAATGGAAAACCTCTACTTAAACGAAGACGGCGACGAGATACGGTCGCTTGTCACCGGCTAAATCCTCTCAGCGAGACAGGTAACGGCGTTTTGACGATGATTCGGAACGGACCCATAAAGGCACGTGTTTTTATGGTTCGACTTAAAAAGTCAGACGCATAAACATTTTTTTTCTCTTTCATTTTTGCGAAATAGAGTGCGTGCAATATTTTAGAAACGCGGAAAAATATAAAAGGGCAACGTAATTTAATCTGAAATATTACGCCAACCATAATGCAGAAAAGCTCTTGGAGTAAACTTTTTTTTTTCGATAAATCTTTTTGACAAATCGCACTGCAAGGTCCGTCATAAAATATAATATCAAAATGGATTACTTGAAATTTACTGTCGGCTGAGTTATGACAAAATAATGTTGCACAAAATTACTCGCAAACGGTATTCAAAAATCTGAATCCGAGTATGTATAGATTTGCTAGTTGTACTTACTTTTACAAGTATTCTATGCTTATAATTATTTGGAAAATTGCATTGCTTACAACCTAATCCAAAGGACCACCGATTGTATTAACTACAAATAAGTTGATTGTATTGACATTTATTATAAATAAATAATCTTTAAATATTGCCTATATTTGGCTCCTTAAAGCGTCCATAAAATATTATTATATTTTAGCTTCGATGCGTAGCTCAGAAGGTATTGGTTTTATAATGATGTGTTTTTTTCTTTGTCCGTAGACAAGATAACTTTTTTTCTATGGACCGAATTATTCGTGTAGCACCTCTATAAGACCAAATTCGTACGCAGATGGTAATTTTTGTGGGTTTAAATTAGAAAAAGCCAACTCGTTAGTTTGTGGCTTGGGGCCAGAGGAACGACTTCGTCGTTGCTAGTCTCATTTTTTAAAGAGAACGGTCTAGCAGTCGATGAATTACGTAAGATATGTCTTTTAGTTAAGGGACACATTATATACAATCAATTTTCCACTTATGGAAAAGTAATATTTAAACAACAATATCTTAATTATTTATTACCTATGTTTGTTCGCCTACAATTTATAAACCACCCCATTAAAGCAAAATTAAAATACATATAATAAAATAATTATTTACAAATATTTATAGAAATATTCAGGTATTGTTTTTCTTAGTACCACCGTTGTGTTTTTTTAATAATAAAATAATATGTCAAAAATGTTATCTATTAACATTTTTGTTTAAGATGAATTATTAGATTATTAAATATAAAAATAAGATTATTCTTAGACTTTATTTGGCTATATAAATTAGTGCAGTAAGAACAAAAGTGTAATGTAACTATTATATTAGGTATATTATAATTGATAATGTTGATTGAAATACATACAAAATCACCTGTAAAGTATTTTGACATATTATTCAGTGTTGCTTTTATCTATTTCAATAGTTCGTTTAACGGTATGAATTAAAACTTTACTAACCCCATACATATACATAGCGATAATAATAATAACAATAATAATAATAATAATAGTTTAAGTTTAGCAATTAAAAGTACCTACGTGGAAAAGATGCTCCTTATTACTTATTGTTACTTACATTTTTGTTTGTTTCATTCTTATCTTAAATAGAATCGTGGCTTTATAGGATCAGGCAAATATTAAAAATATAATTTATTTGCATACGGTATTTTCTATATCTTTATTGTTATGAAAACAAAAGTATTACTGAAAATATGGTAGTGTTCTGAATTATATCTATTAATTATCGTTTACTATTTATGAATATCAATATTGTAAATTCCCAAAATTACAGACGTGTTGAAGTAATTTTCTAATTTATAACTTATGTAGGTATATATCTTTGAGATTTTGTTTTAAATGTTAATATATATTTATAAAATATATTTAATTATAATATTATAATAGTTGAGCTCCTTAGAATTGTTTGGTTATTTTTCTAAAATTACGTGAGGGTATTGTAGCATACATAACGCCTTAACTTTTTATACTCTGTGTATCGCGTTAAAATTAAAACTATTAATTTCCAAAGCATTTTTCCGTCAACTGTTAATTGATAAATCTGGATTTATCAATTCTGGTTAATCCAGACTTCTGAAATCTGGTTATTTCCATCTTTAGTAGATATATTTTTAATTGTGTTTCTTTTTAATTACTGTCATACAAATGTTTTACGATTATGATATTTGTTTGTTAAAACTGTCTCGTTTGTTAACTTTTTGCACATTTTTAATTACCCCTTGGAAATAATAATTGTTTTACAGCCAGTTCTAAAAAAAAAAATTTCTGAAATGTATAGAATGGTGGCTTTTCAAAACTCGTTTGGATCATTACTTTTTAATTATTCAAATAGACAAAAAATACAACTTCTAACTTTTTTCGTTTTCGAGTAGTAAACAAACATGTTAAAGTAATAAATATTATTATATAAAGGGCATAACAATTACTTTAGAAAAAAAAATATTATTATAACAACAATTTATTTGTTTAGGGGAAAAAAATAGTGCAAAGAGTAAATCCTCGTGGGACGTGCATTCCGGATAAATAAATAAAATCAGGATAATGGCCTCTGCGACGTTAAACCGCCCACGCAAAACCACGCATAGTTGCTGTGCATGATTTTAATGTTTTATACTTTGCACTTTGAAGTTGGGAAATTGGCAAATCACACATTTCCAACGATTAGTTGTGTGGCACAACAATGGGCACCACCTACCTGTGCCTACACGCGAGCGGGTTATTTATCGTCTACACGCGGCAAAGTCCCATTTAATGTTTTCAGTGCGATCGAAACGCCTTTATATCCAAACACTTAACTTGTTGTTTTATTTTTTAGCTTCGAAAAAAGTAAGGGCACATTTAAAATTAAACAAACACTATAACAATCACTATAACCGTCGACTTAATATTTTTTTTTCCATTTTTCCCATGTGATCAACTGCATCCATCGAGCGCCCTTATGGTTTGCATTATACCGCATCCGACGTTATTGTTGGTAAAGTCCGGGAAGTTGCTCTCCAACACCATCATACGGTTTCGCTCGTAGTCGACCATCACTTGTGTGGCCAAGAGACATGAATCGGGCCGGTAGACGAGGACAAAGTTGTCAGAGTTAAAAGGTTTACCCACGTCCCATTTGTAAATGTCTGACGCCCCGCCGTACCTGAAGAACATCGACGTGCCGCCGTCCACGCCCAAAATCACCTGAAACAAAATAACCATACACAGTAAACGCAATGGGCTCGGGTAAACTTGCCAGCTCTCTGTTTGCGGTTAATTGAGAATCTTAAAATAATTAAAAGGCGAGCGCGGTCTGAGGATAAAGCCGAGGTAATCCCCGTGAACCCCGTCTGTTCGTCGACAGTAAGCTTATTAAGGCAAAGGATGGAGACGGAAAGAGAAATTCGGGCTTCTTACAATGTATAATCCCGTGTTGCCGTTTTAATACATATTTTTCGCACACCAACGAGCGATTATTCGCGGTTTCCTCGGAAGGTCCTTTTGACTTTATTATAATATTATGCTATAAATACACGAAACCGTTTCACGCCGTTTGGTCACATGAAGTGGGGTACACAATGGCCGGCGTTATAGCTTTTTACCGAAGACAGGGTTCGGGAAAACTGCACAGTGTTAGTGAGTTGCGGCCCAATCCCTAAATCAAGTACGAATTTCGGCCCGGGTTTATGGGAGAGACGTATGAGTTGCAACCCGGTTAGGCCACATAATAATTACCACTTCATATCAGCCTATTAGCGTTACCCAGGAGTCACTACGGGTAGGTTGAAAATGAGTTGTCTCCCAAAAATATGTTTTTTAGTAAATTTTTTAAAATTATGTTATTGGCTGATGAGCGGTTCTGTTGTTCATTTTTTTAGTTTTTTTCACATTACTAGTTTGGCAAAAATTTAAAACTTACTAAAAATGTTGACTGGTCGATAACCAGTCTTGAATAATTATTTTTATTGTTAATAAATATTAAAGCTAAGGACGGGAAGAGTGAGATGTAGTATTATTTTTATCTGTGTGCATTATACAACCGCACTTCTCCTCCCGTCCTAATTTTTACACTATAATAACTTTAAAAATAACAAGATCAGATAATATAAAAAAAAAAACTAAAAATAAAAATTTAAAACTAATTAAATCCTATAAGATATTGAGTGGATCTCTTTAAAAAAAAATCATCCTGTGTATAGAATTTGATATTTTCAAAAATTTAACTTTATAGGATACGGGCCACAACTCATACGTCCACCGAAAATTGACGGGCTCCAATTCATCGGTCACCGACATCGTAAACAACATCTTGGGTCACAACTCACCTACAGCCAACCTGCATACGTCTTAAATGTAAATGATTGGTAATTACCATTTTGTCGGATTTCGGCCCCATGTCTAAGATTTTGCCAGCGGATCCGGATCTCAGGTATTCTGTCCTCACGGTGAACACTCGGGTACCGGACAGATAGGTGACGATAAGCGCCGAAGGACCGCATTCGCTCCGCATCAGTGCTATGTAGAGCACGTCCCTTTTACTGCAGCCGGCCGTGATCGCCTTGGGTAACACCACCCTAGTGCCCTTATTTTCCGCCACGTCGAACACGATCAGAGCCCTGTTGGCCGCGTCCGACACGTACACGAAGCACTTGCCGCAGGAGCCGTAATCGACCACCAAATACTGCAAACGACTCATGGGGGTCGTCAGACAAGTCAGGTCGATCTTCTTGAGCAGCTGCAAAACGTTTAACGGATCATCAATCGGTTGGTTCAATTAGTTTCGGAGAGGCCCACAGTAACGTATAATATACCCCTAATTATTATACCCCTAATTGTTTGTCTCCCGACAATCCTATACGTCTTTTTACTATCGTATGCGTTGCCTACAACGAAAAAAGGTACTGTGTAGTGCATTACTAAAATCCGGTGACAATAAAAATGTATAGCTACCGAAATGAAACGAGCCGGAACTGTGGAAAGTATTTTATAAACTATCCATTGTTTTGCTGGGATGGAACATTGAAAAACGCTCAAGTGAAAAATGACGTTTGCCGTTTTCAACAGCTTAAAAGAATACGATTTCGATAAATTAAAACCGAGTATTCATTACATCTCGAATCAGATACCCGTTTCGTTTAACGGCCGCGATTAACTAGTAACTGGCGGGGAAACTGTTTAAATTACCCGTCGTACTTAAATGAAAAACCTTCGCTTTTTATCCGCAATTTCCTTTTTCGATTATCTCGCCTTAGAAATATCGAGAATACCTACTTAATGTATTCAATTGCCAAAATGATTTTAATTTTATCGCTCTTATCGCACGTTTCGAGAAACGTCCCGAACATAATACTATTAGATTGCACGGTCGCTGTTTGTGTAAACGGATCCCGATTACCTACTACTGTAAGGTTACTGCAGTTCTACAGATAAAATGGAATACTCCGTTGAGCTTATATATTTTGAAGGGACTAGCGATAGCGTGCAGACGGTCGAGGGTTTAGTTTCGGTCGATTGAATAATGTAATCTTGTAGGTACCCAAAGCTAGGGCTGATAGGTTTTACAGTTTGTCTTGTGGCATTGTGGTTGGGTACGTGCCGTGGCGGGCAAGGAAACGGCCGCAGGATTTACTATACAGGATTACCGTGCCGTACAAATTGATCCCACGACCTCCTTTCACTGCAATCGCTCATCGCGCCGTTCGATACAGCAGATACTGACCAGTTTTATCCGCACCCATACCAGCTACGGCAAGTGAGATGTGAAACTCTGTGTGTCTTTTGTGAACGATCAGAACGTTATTAACGATTGTAAAACGTCGTTTTCACGTATAAGATTAAACTTGGAAGGCAGTACAACAACACATACGACAGCTATTGCTCAAACTACAAAATCTAGATCAGTGGTCGTTAGAGAATTTAACGTCATCGACGTCGGTTTTTTTTCCTCTATGGTATGACTTGTTTTATGCCGTTTCACTTATTATATTTTTTAATAACAATATTAATATGTTTTTAACGTTCGTGCGATCGTTTCACAAACATTTTTTTCTCTTGGAATAGAACTTAAGCCTCGGGGCTTACCTTTCCGGTGCATAAGGAAAAAGCCCATATGGTAGGCGGACCAGTTCTCTGAGGGCAACTGTCCAGTGTGTAGATAATACCCGTATCCAATACCCAAAGTACGTCTTGGCAGTCGATGAACAGGTCGACGGCGTTTTGGATTTCATTGGCTTTGCCCTCTAGTTGGAAATTTAGGGAAGGATACGGTACCAGCTTTGCTTGACACGTGTTGAGTGTCAGGCAAGTCTTCGCCAAAGTACTCGCCACACCTGACTTGAACCTACGACCCACATAATTTCAAAGAAGGACTCGTCATGATTTATTAAATATATTATTAGCTTAAGGTTGTGGCCTAGCTCGTAGGTGTCCAACAACGGTATTGACACTCACCTGGGCAGTGCCAAGTACACTTCGTCTCGGTAGATCTGCGCTCTCAAGGCAATGGCATTTTTCGAAATGTATTTGCCGCTGTCTTTTAGCATCTGGTCCACCTCGGAACACCCAAAATCAACGTCAGCACCAGTCCAAGTAACCCGGTCGTATCGCTGTGAACAACTGCAATTGTACATGGCACGTGCTGCACCACACACGAGCATCAACATGACTAACTGTAGCCCGCTTCTTGTCTCTGACAAAATAAAACGCGGCACTTAAAATTGTAATACTTAACGGTGGTTTGTTTTTAATTGGTTGATCATATACTTACCGACCATAGTAAGGCTTGGGGCGAAATAAGCGAAAAATCTTCCAAATGCCGTGATCCTCTTCAGATTAAATGGAAAGATGTTTCACCGACAAAACCCTTGGTATTACAAACGACCGTTACAAGTACGCACTGAAAACCGCAGACGATGCATTTATATAAGACTTAATTATTCGGTTTAATACGTGTCATTTACAGTGTTTATAAAATCATATAGGCTTTTTTTATAAGCGAGACCTTCGATTTTTTGCTATAGTTGATTTTACTTTTTTTTACATTTTCCAAGTTGGCCTTCGGGCTTTATAAAACGTGAAAACATCACACACGGCTGAATAAAAAAAAGTAGGACATTGAACGGTGTCGCGTCGGGGCGATCACCGGTTAGTAGAATTTATGAAGCACCATGCTAGAAAATACAGTAAAATCACTTAAAAACGCTCCGATGCAAATTTTACAATGGTGAAAAGTAAAAATATTTACAGCTTAAGATTTTGGAAGTTGTATATAAATTATAAACTCTAAAAGGTGTACACAATTGTTCTGCCCTTAAACTGAGCAGAGAAAAAAAATGTGAACCTATTTTTGGGGTGAGGGTAAAGCTTTTTTCCTGGTGATTTACATTTACTTTACTGTCCAGAAAGAACATTTATAATATATTCTTTAAGAAAAAAGTAAATAATATTTTTTTAAATCATTGTGTCAAGTAAACATTATAAAAATCTGTTAAAATTAAAAATTGATTTTCTCTTTTTAGAAAATATAAGGTGGACTTTATTATCCCCCATGTTTAGATTATACACTTGAGCTTTTATAAACGATATTTGATTTATATTCTGTGTATGTTAAAAAATCGGTTCTGTGGATAAAAAACCGTGAGCCCAAACAGTAAACATATAAAAAAAAATATCCTTGTTAAACCAATAAACCTTCTCAGCACGTCAAAATCTAAAAATTGATGCTTTATGTACACATGAAAATGTGATAAACAAACAACAAAAGAATCGGGTAATTTATTTTGAATTAAAAAAAAAACGTCAAAACGAGTATGGTTTAAATTGGATAATGAAATCTGGCGTCCAGAACACCCGAATTTTTTAACGCCCAAATCATAAGTCAAATAAACCATTTACTATTTTCAAATGATGTATAAAGGACTATGGTTTTCCTGGCTATTGTGCATAATATATTATACAGGGTGTCGTTACCCTGACTGATAGTTTTAAGTATAAACAGCCCGAGGATATATCCATGATGCATTGATTTTTGACTATATATATATATATATATATATTTATGTAGGTATATGGTTTAAACCCTAATTATTATTCTGTTGTGTACTTTTCACTCGGAAAAGACAATTTAGATATCTGAGACAATATAAAAACTCAAACAGTTTACTATTTATGTTATATTGCGTATAATCCTTACAGGTTCTATGTTAATTCTTTATAAGGAGTTTATTGTTTAATTATACAAGGAATAACGTAATATGTACACAGTACATCATTGGATATTAATATTTAACAGTAATATACAGTAAAAGTAAAATTGTTTCGTTTTCTGTAATAATAAAAACAACTTTTTAAAGGCCCTAAGGTATTTTTTTTATTTTTAAAGGGGTGGGAGCTAACTGCTAACTTATGCAACAGTGTCACTGTTGCGACTTTTTACGGCCTGCTTTATTTAAGGTTTTATTTTCCGTCGAGCACTTTCTAAAACTTCAAAAAAGGATGACATACGTCATATCTGCACGAATGACACGAGAGAAACAACGTGGTAAGCGCATGGAATCCAAAAAAAAACCACAATAAGTTCAGTATTGACCATTATGTAAGCAGTTGGTGCATAATAATCGACCGAGACCTTATTGAGCTGCCTGCGCTTGGTTGTTGATCTTCACGTTATTGGCCATTAACGTTTACCAGTTATTATACCTTACTCAGTGATTATTATATATTTTATATAAATATTATATATATATATATATATATATAATGTGATTGTGAGTACCCGGCAAACACGTCTACGGCGGCCGTTTAATACCGTATTTAATACCGCTTAAAGGCACTATTAAATGTGCGTGTGCGTTCTTAAGTATACGATTATTCCGTGTATTTGTATATTGTTGTTAATTTCTACGTCTCGATGATGTACGGACCGGACGTGTCGGTCCAGCAGACACGCCGTTACATCATATAACAATAATAAAATACGTTATACTACTGTATGTCTGTATATTTTTATCTCGGCTGGGACGTTTACCTATTTCAAAACTGTGCGCCGGCTCGGGTAAACGTACGGCGGAAGCGAGCGAAAGTTCACGTTTCTAATCCAAAAACGATCTTTATTCGCGGTATAACGTTTACAGACGTGTACTCAGGTATCCGGATGTTAAGCAATAGTCAGCAAACATACACACATTACACATACACACAAACGTATGGTAGAGTTGCGGTAGAACCGGTTTTGATCGAAACCGAGCGCATTTTTTAAAATTTTATTTGTTGTGCGGGTATCAAAATATTATCGACAAGCGCCGGTTTGCGTAACGCATGTGAGTTAAAACAATTCTCATTATACGGCTACATCTATGACGTTAACGGGGGTACAATGCATAATAATATTTGTTGTAATAATTGTTGTAAGCGCGTCACATCGTGTCAATCACAAACGCGTCAGCCTCCGGGGAACAGTAAAAAAGGATAATAGCTCAGAAATTTCGGATTTCGAGAATGCTACTCTGTGTTTTGCATACGAATGGAGTTAATGCAAATCAAGTTATTCCGTGATAGTAACGAAAGAAATGTACATTTCATTTTGTTTTGTAACGTCTTAATTTTGTTTATGTTTGAACTTTTCCCCACTGACCAATAATTATCAAGTGTAAAATTAAGAAATTATGAATATTTTTGACACAGGATATTTATAAAAACTTTTTTTAAATAACAAATAAGCATGTACATTTTACAAAAAAAAAATAGTTTTATAATATAGTTAATTTGTCAAATTATCAAAATATTTTTGTATCATTTTAATAAATGCTACAATTAAATTTATTAATACTGTACTTAAAAATTTAAATAACAATACTTATCGTCTCTGCAAACATTACACTATTATTGTATTCTAATTAATAATTTTATACTGTTAAAAAAATAAAACAATTATCGCTAAACAAAATAAGCCTCAATCAGTTGTATTTTGTTTAGCATATAGTAAACAGTATTCTTAACTCAACAAAAGATTTTATCGGTTTTATTAAAAATATATTTTTCTAAATTAATAACTAGTTTATTCAAACTTATATTGATAAAGATTTTCTCAATTTTTATTGGATTTACTAGAAGATTTGTTTTAGTGTAACTAAAATGGAAAAATTGTAATTGTATTTATTAAATAAATACTTTAAGATCCTCATTTGTTTGAAGTTATCCTACTTAGCTTTTTGATAAATTACTTAATACAAATATTGATCGGCAGATTAATGAGCAAAAATATCAAAATGAAGTATAAAAGAGTAGGTGAATGAAATAAACATACATTTATTTACCTTCAATTTGAGTATTTTATTTAAAAGTTACAATTGACAAGCGCAGTATCATTAAAAGTTGTCCTAAGTATTTATCCGGCTCTATATCGACTTGATTTTCTCGTTAAAATATCATGCGTATTAATTGGCTTAAGGAGCTTATGCCATGACTTGCAACTACATCTCGTTAAAATGATGTAATATTAAGAGGCAACAAAGTGCAAATTGATACAATAATTTTGTACATGTATGTGTTATCATGAGGTATTTGTCTTATAATAAAAATCATTTTTAATTAACACAAATGTTAATCATTTATAACATCTGGAAATATTTATTCAGCAGCATTATACACTTCAAACGTATCTCTGAATTACTTTATCAATTGTTTTGTATATTTGAAAATAAAAACATTTGAGTAGTTACATTTATTTTTTTGTTATTATGCGATTCAATACCGCAAAACACTATAGTGATAAATATTTTATGTTGGATTCTTGAATGTTTAATATCTTAGATAACGATTTTGAAAACTCGTGTGACCTATTTTGAATAAAGGTCGGGGATTAATTAATAATGGAAGGTTTTATCGTTGGTTAGTTTTCGGTTGGCATAGCTATGTTTTAGACTGATGTGAAATATATATTTTATTTATCGACAAAACTTTTGCACAAACGTAAATGCGAAGTTTAAGCGGCTGAAAATACATCTTTTGTGTGCGTGCCTACGAGCCTAAAATTTTAAAACGTATTTGCTTTTCTTTAGACTGCACGGTAAAAGACATATATAATATATTATGTCACCGTGAACACTTAAATAAATGTATTCCTGTGCGCGCGCGTGTGTGTGTGTGTGTGTAATTGCTTACCTACACTAATATAAATGTTCAACTGTATGTAACGGATAATCGGTCAGACTACAGGTATATATTATAAGTAGTTCAAATTGATTAAACTTAAAAAAAAAAATATTTGAAAATATAATAAAGTTATAATAAATTTTGTCTCGATTATGTCAGTGGAAGGGTAAATATGCATTCCAGCAGTAAAAACAAAATTATAAAATATGATATCATAATAGATTATTGTTGTTATTATATTTGTATTCGTTTTTTAATGTATCATATTCGGTTTCGAGATCAAAATTCAGATATACTTTTACTTATTTACATATTCTTTATCCTCCGGCGGTCGACTGCGTGACATATTATTATGCATTATGTATTATGGTTAATCGTTTTTAATGTAATATAATATTTTATTATTTACCTTTATGCAAGATCAGCGCCCAGTAAGAGGTAGTCCAATTATATATTTATATATATGGGCGCGAAGGTCGTGACCTACCAAAACGTTTATTATTCAATAGTCCGATCGCCGAGCGTACCGCTATTAATCGCCGTTAACGGTTGATAAGTGCAATCGACCGGTAGAGCCCATACAAATTTGGCCTCCTGTCCCAGTTAACGGCTGGACAGCTGTTACGGCCCGTTTAAAGTATGGTTTTTATTGTTAAACATAGCCTCGTTTAGGTGGGTTGTCAGTTAACACAAATTGTCAGGTATATTTGGACAAGTGAGTCATGGGAGTTGTGCGTTATCAAATAAGGAAACATCCCCGGGACAATTAACGGAAATATGGCCTAACCGGATTGTTTTTAACTTATATATTACATTCGACCGTTGCCAGCAGCCGGATGAGAGATTATCACCGTCTAGACCTCGACAAAATAAAAGCCAAAACGAAAAACCCTATTGCTTTTCGGCATTGTCTGTATTGCGATTATTCTTAAAGTATATAGACAAAGGAACAGCGCCCTTAGGCCTTAGCCCACACCACCTAAAGCGATGTGGTGTGGCGTACGTCTGTGTATAAGTTTCGGTAAACCTTCGAAAGTCCAGTGGTTCAAATGGATATTTGAACGTTTTTTTACCGCAGTTTCGTTGGCCACAAATTACGGTTATAATGGAATTCACCGCGCGTACTTGTCCCGCGGCGGCGGATAGACTTTTTTTATATCTTTTTACATAATAAACCTACTTGGGTTTTTTTCCTTCTAATATCACATCCCGAGGAAATAAGTAGGCCTATACAGGTAGATCAGCGGGGGATAACCGGCGGCCATTACATAAGCCGGTCACGAATATGAGCTGCTTCCTTCTTAAGTCGCCGCTGCCGGTTATAATACTATAATATGTAAGTCTCGGTTTCGACCGATCTCTCAATGGCGCATGTCAAAAATCTGTATTTTTAAATTTTTATATAAATAATATATTATAACATAGAGGCAAGTACAAATATTTAACTACCGCGATTCAATGTTCGGTTTGGTCCATTACTTGGTGGTTTTGCCAGTGTAAAAATCAGCCATTCAAGTACAATTATTCAAAAACAAACGGCGAACGACTAAAATTACAAATTAGCCCGTGTTAATTGTAAGTCTTGGCGATCGTGGGAAGCAACGGCGGGTTAAAAGGCAGCGTTAACACGCTTACGGGCTGATCTCTAACCCCGTTATGGGCGCACCCGCGTTGTTGCTGATGTTGTGTTTTTTGTTCGTGGAAATGCTGGCCGGAAGGATACAAAATGTTAGTCGCTCCGAGTTACTCGCCTAAGTAGGGTTTAGGCCGCCGTCATAATGTGAAATCTTGTGTAAGCGACCTTTTATGTTGCCGAAGAAACCCTAAATCCTACTAACACCGGTAACCGTTATTTATATTCACGCTGTAACGCTAAAATTTGTCACTCCAATTCACGTTCTATCCGTGTCAGTATTCATCAACCGTAATCTTTCAGTAACTTTTTAAGGCGACATCCTTAAACTTGCAATAATCAGATTGTCATTATGTTAAGCACATTGGACATTCGTACCTAATTAAAAATCATTATTTCAAAAAAATGGGTTCACCAATAGTAGATTGTGTTATATAAAATAATGCAACAAAAAATTTCACGTAGGTAATACATTTGTTTGAAACGTATCTCCTAGGGCCTATCATTTTATATTATTATATAATGCAATATTTATATTAAAAAAGGGAAATTAGCTCGTTTTGACAAAAAAAAACTCATTTTTATGTCTTAAGAACCATTTTAAATTTAATAGGTTTTTTGCACGCCGTATACATCTATATGATACATGTAAGCGTGAGCTTCTGGTATAGGCCTTAACTTGTTTTTTTGAATTTATGGTTTGTTCCTAATATTATATAAAATATAGTATTGACTTGTACCATGGAATTATTAATAATATAAACTAATCTTACAAATATTTCGAAACAAGTAGACAAATTTAAAACTTAATGATTTTATAAGTAGTTACAGCCAGAGAAAGAAAACATTAATTGGACAATTGTAGTAGTCTTTTGGTTAATGTCAGTACACGATAACTCATTGACAGTTACTTGTTTTTTTCCAAAAATACAACATACCAAAAATGTAATTTTTTTTTTAAAGAGTTCCTAAGCTAATAATAAAATAAAAGCTGTGTTTGAATAATATTTGTATACAATCTGTATTTTACAATTATTATTATTTGTTATTTTGTCGGATGACAAACCATTCGAATTTATTATGTTATTCGAATAACTTTTTTACTTCTTCAATTACTACGTTATTCGATAACGTTGGCCTAACTCCGACCCATGTTTATATTTTCTTGTTTATCTAACTTGAAAAAATCACATCGTACCATCAAGTACTCGCGGACCTCAGAACCAATAGGGTTTTTTCGACCTTCGTTACAGACGATATTGTAAGAAATCACGAAGCAGCTGTTTGTGTACCGTATGATTGTCATTATAATATTATTATTGTCTTCGACGGCTATTACGTGTACATAGACAGTTTTGTGTTTGCACTATTTTTTCTTTAGTTTTCGTTCGAGTATTGTATTGTTATTAACCGGTGTAGTGCGTTACATAACCGCGTAAGCACTCGGTAATTGGATTGCGCGCTTATGACTCACACGTTCGGTCAAATGCAAATGTTCGGCCATCGTGACCGACCACTAAGTATATTATGGGCTTTTGCAGTCCGCACGAGATGATATTTTTGCGGAAGAACACGGAGCGTTTGTTTTTTTTCGGCCGCAATTAAACGGTCGATAGGCCTAATCGATTATATATTATACTTATATATTATAGGTAGTGTAAGTACTCGCGGGCATTGCGGCGTTGGGTAAGTCGGCGGCGACGGCGACAATAATAATAATAATAATAAATTGTTGTTATTAGAATAAAACGGAACGGTCTCCCGTCGACGTGATACTTAACGACAACAAATTAATACCACGGGACATATTTTAAGTAGTACAGCTGTTTGGTAAAAAACGGGTTACATTTTTCTTACCGTCCGAAACTCGCGGGTGTCCGGGTGTCCCCCCGAGCACGTTTCCCAATATACATATATATGTGCTTTACCCGTCCGCGAATCGATCGAGACGGTAAAAAAGGAAAATTTCAAAAGAAAAAATTGTCATTTTTCCAAAATAATATATTTTCTTAACACCGGAGCACGGCTGTCGTCGGACACGGACACCGTAAACCGTGGAAACGCGACCTCGCCCGGGGAAAGGTTAAACCGCTAACAGTGTCGAGCATGTTCCGTCCAATGCCATCGCAAAAATGTTTACAAAATAATACAACGATTGTAATATCGTTCGGGCCGTGGAAGAACGGCGGCTGTGGTAAAAAAAATTGCAAGGAAAAAGCATAACAAAAATACACGCGTCGTATCAATGCGCGGCGGCGTTAATGAAAAATATCAACAAAAAAAAAATGTTCAAATCGCATTTAAATGTAATCCATCCGCCGTCGGATATAAAGTGTTATCGTGTGCGACACGTTTAGCGATTAGCGATTAGCGATTCCGATAACGTGAGTGACCGGCGGTACGCGGCCAACCGTGTGTACGGGCAAGCTGTTATTATTAGGCGTTTGGCGGTTACGTTGGGTTTCCTTTTTTTTTCCAGTGTCCACGTCGTAAACGGCGACCGTCGATGAAAACCGTTGGATACACGCGCGCAATGATCACGTGTTTGGGGGTGCTGTTGGCCGTCGGGTGGGCCGTTGGGACGCAGGCGGCCGACACGGCGGTGTACTCGCTGAACGGGCAGAACCTGCAGTGGCAGTGCGCGTCCACCAAGAACATCTACGCCAACACGGGCCGGTACACGTCCAAGAACATCATAGCGACCCGCGTACAGATATGGGACGACCGGGCGTTTGTGCTGACGCCCAGGTTCAAGACGGGCGTCCCGTTCACCGTGGCCGAGATGGACCTCAAATGCAACGACCGCTGTTGGCCCATGCTGACGCCGTACCCGTGCTGGGCGATGCACGACGAAGGCGACGCTAACTCCATACAGAACGCCGTCGACATATACCTGGACCCGATGGGCATACTCTGGGTGCTCGACACCGGCCTGGTCAACACGATGGAACAGCCCGTCCGTCGGAGTCAGCCCAGGATAGTCGCCATAGACGTCAAAAGCAACCAGGCAAGTGCCCATTGAACCTTGAATATCTATCATAATAGAAGTAATTGATTTCTTTAAATAAAAAAAAACACTTACAAAAAGTAACTAAAAAATATTAGGCATAAACACTTCTTGTTCTGCTCTGGCACTACTACTCCCCGAAAATTGTGTTGCCTTCTACCCTTTTCCTAAAATAGAACCTTTCCATTCAATCACTCCCAAAGATCTTAAGTCATCTTAAGCTACGTCGGTGTACATTTTCCTAGGTTTACAGCGAAGCCGTTTCATTTTATCTTCATAACTCATTATATTATGATCTGTCCTTTGATGAAACTCGGGTGCCGTGTCTACTATATACCCATTATAAACACAGGAAAGTGCAATTAACAAATAACAATTATAACAATAAATTATGAAACCACCGTGGAAGGTAGAGTTGAGATTATAACTCGTGCATAATATGTTCTAAATATTTAGTAGGTATCATAATATAGTAGAGTTAGGGAAAGTTAATGTTTAATGGGATTATTACCTACTAGCGAAGTTATAACTTGAGATTTAACGATTAATTCAATTTTTGGCTAAGCTAATCAAGTTAAAAGCTAAAATATGGACTTTTAAATTTAAATTATAATTAGGTGAAAATTGTTTAACTTTAAAATAATTAAACCTTTATTATTAACATTTTTCTTAGTTAAGACTATGGTAATTAAAATGAATAACGCAATTATTGATTTAAATACATTTGTAATTAGGTTAGTATTAACTAAAATTATATTATTTAAATCAACTTTCTGGTAAACGTGCGGCCTTTCACATTTTGAGTGTTGATATGTTTAACAACATTACTTTTCACATCAGTTATATCTTATTAAATCCACCATTCCTGCATTTTCCCCCTCAAAAGGTATTTTGCCCTTTGTGTAGGGTGTACGCGCTACCATATTTTTTGTTTCTCTCTTCCCTAAATGTTTAGTTTAGATTTATGTAAGTCATTAAGTTTTATCTAGTTTTAGTTTAGTAGATTAATGGTCGAGATGTATACGTTGGGGTTTGGAAAACTAACATGAAAAGGTTCTATCTCATAATTTATTTTTAAAATGTTCAAGAAAGCTTTTGTAAGGTTATGAAAACTTATTATTCAGATTTTAATTATACTAAATATGATAATAAAATAAATCAAAACATAAACAATTTTTTTATAATGCATGGATAGTAACTGGGTAAAATTGAAATTATAATAATTAATATTTTATAAACTTATTATCGTGGTGTACAGGAGGTACAATCAAATAAGTTATCGGTGAAGTATACGAATTAATTTATACTCATAAAATGTTAAGCGTAAAATAAATTGTTGGATCTACTATAATTATTGCAACAAATTTATAGTAAATAGATAATAAATATTTAAGTAACGAAAAGTATAGAACCTTTCAAATTGACAATTATGATCTAATTAGAACATTACTACTCTTACAAATTGCACTAATGGCTCTCACGACATTTATAATTATTATAGCCTTTCTATAACTGTGTTTTCACATGCGGAATGTGTCGTTTGTGTCTATAATTTCTATTCAAAAATACAGCTGTTCGATAAATATATTGATTTGGATTATTCCCGAAAGTCTGAAACAATTTTTTTATCAGATTGAACTAATGAATATCTCGCGCGTGTACCTAATTGCATATGCATTACCTAATTGTATATGTTTAACTAGTTGTACACACAGAGAAAACACGCAGATCTACTTTATTTGTAAGTCTAATTTTTTTTTAGTTATTCGCAATATATAGTGTATTATTGTTACATCATAAATCATAATTACTGGGATAGTACGAAATCAAACGCACAGCGCTTATATAAGATTGTTTACTATTAAACTCTTAAAAGCGTCGCGACTTACGTGATGTCGTTCAGTCCCTCAGGTGATAAATACGGAAGAGACTTGGTACATTCTATTTTTTTTATTCGTATCGTTTCACAACCGGACATAAGTAATTATTTTTTTTCTGGGGGAAAAAAAAGATATACTCTCTGGGGAAGTATATCTATATCAACCCTATAAATGCGTCACCGCCAAAATGAGTTGGAACAAAACTCGTTCGAGTCCCCTTTCGATTTTAGCCATACAAACGCAATGCGAGATGGAAACATCGGTGTAGAACATTTCCCAACTGTACAAGAAATTATTTCTAGGGAAAAGCCTACCGAATTACTTGAACTTCCGTCCCCTTCGACGTCGCTTTCGTTCGTAAGCCTACCAATTCCAATAAATCACATTACGCCCAGCTAAAGGTATATAGATTTTAACGGTTCCGGTTTTGCCGACAAATGTTTAACAATAATAATCTCGTTTTTATACACTTCGTATAGTCACGATGAAAAGCTTTTCAATCGTTGCGCGCGTCCAGCCTAATGCCGGCCGGCAACAAATGAAAATCTAGATTTAAAAAATCTCCCCCTCCCCCGATCGTTAAACAATTAAATTAGGCGTTTTTTGTTTTCCTTTCAAGCACGGAATATTACTTTGGATTGCGATATTATTATTATCGTGGTAAAAAATATCCGTAAATAAAATACACACACACGCACATATATATATATTATTATTGTATTATTATAAACATAATAATATTATATTATACTATCGTAAACCGTAACGAGCGGTGCGTTTTACAAAATGAATCTCAAGTAAATTACCATATTATTATTTATTACTATGCTTTTTTCTGGGTATTAAAAAACATTATAACAAAAAAGAATCTTACAAGAGATTAAAAAAAAACAGAGTCCATTAGGGAATCCGTGGCGCGGCGGTGGAGGCAATCGACCCGACACCGTCTCCTCGGACTCGGAAAGGGTTTACCGGCGGCGCCCTTTTGTTTTCTAAGCCCCAAACATCGAGACGCGGGTAGGTACCCTCCCTCTCGTTTTACCCCTGTCCCATGCCGAGTTCATTCGCTAACCGCGACAATGATATCTGCCGCTTGACTGCCCCGGCCCAGTGTTCGAGTGTGTTGTATTTCGACGGACCTCTCTTTTGTAGAGGCATTAATTTCATACACCGGGTGGTGTTGTTAATGAATGAGAATTATGGCGGCCGTCGCCTATTATAAAGAGCCATTATGATAATAACACTCGGCTTATCTGCCGGTCTTATAAATAACAACTCGGTTCGCCCCACGCCAAGAATCGCCGTCCGATTTCCATATTGTCCGCGTTCGGTTCCAATACAATCGTTATGGGATTACACGGCCGCCTAAGTTTCTGAATTGGCTATTCGATCCAGTAGATTACAATCGTATATTATATATAGTACCTGTATAAGTTTCACGGGTACGGAAAGACATCCGGCAAAGGTGCGTTATAATTCGCACAGACTTAATCGTATACAATACCGAGCTTGCACATAGCGAATAGGTAGGTAAAGGCTGCTTAAAGGTCCGACAATTTAATAAAATCACCGCAAGGGCTGGTCCTATGCTTCGGCAGGGTTTCGCCGAGTCCATATTGCTAAAGTTCTCGGACACACGATACCGATCTTGGACAAATGCACTTATACTAGCACACATCAGTTCTAACAAATGTACACGGAGTGAGTTAGAATAGCCCGGTGTCATTGAACGCCGATGTATAAAACTAAAGCTCTTTTTTTTTTTTTACTGAAATGCAATCAATTTTTGTGCAGGGGACTTATGGAATTGTTTGAATGGCAACCCTCGTGAGCTCTGTATTTACTGGATATTATTGTTAAACTAATTTAAAACGTGCTGTTGTTTTATGTAACGTGTGTTTGGCAAAAAAAAAAAACGGAGTAAATAAAATCGTGATTTCTATTATTTTTCCTTCGGCGAAGAACAGAAAAGATAATATACCTTTATATTATTACAGTCATGGTATCTTAGGACCACTGGACCGAATCGTTCATAAATCAAATACAAACAGTCCTACCATCCGGAATCATATCTAATACTTATGTTTGAAGGGTCGAAATTGAAAAAGTTCTCACCTTTTCCTCTAAAACGAAAAATACCCCACAATACAATATTTTGACACGCTATAAAATATAACAAAAAACGTTTATTAATTTTCTCGAAAATAGTGCTACCATATTATTATAATAATAGTAAAATATCTGGAAAAACTCGAATTCTTATACTTTCGTTTTTTTCTAGACAAAGTTATGATCTTTATGAAGTTCATTATATGGAACATATAAAACACGTCATGTATAAAACATTAAATATGTTTAGGAGTATGTTAAACTTTTGTATCAGGTGTAGGTATAAGTAAGGAAGTTTTAGTAAAAAAAATGTGTTTCTCTCGTTTTTTAAGAAGTATAAATATTCAAATTGTAAATACTATTTTAATTAATCACATTATATTAAGACTTAAATAAAAAATAAAGCTTAGCACGAATCACCTATAAGATCTTCTTGTCACCTAACAAGTATTATTTTGTGACAATGTTTTATATTATATTTTCCTTTCGCAAATATTTCAATTCTATTTAAGCATTGCCAATCTAAATTCTAATACAATTCTTGAACCACACTACATTACAGCTCTTTGAAAAAATATACATTTTCTGGTGAAATCTATTTATAAATCTAGATTCTTAATATATAAAGAATTGTATTATGTTATTAAATTTTATTACGTCCCCCAATGCTGTCAACTTTTTTACTATGTTACTCGGTAATCTAATAAGTTGTCTTCAATTCCCTGTCGGGACATGATGGGGCAGTTATATTTGACCGCCCTTGTTCTAATCTATAATAGCGTTATTAAGACTAAATTGGATTATAGTTCTTTTCTATTTTGACGCTACTTTCTTGGCTCTGAAATATACCCAATCCTCTTTTAATCTCGTGTCTACACGCCATTATCGACGTACATTCCCCTAAGTTGTTTGAAGTAGGAATAGCCAAGCCCTCCTCTTGAATTCGGAGTCTGCCGTTTTATCGTTTAATATGACTTAATCTGGAGATTCATTTTTCTTTCTTCTCTCTAGTCTGTTAGTCCTACTTTCGCATTAAAATGCAACATACTTCGCTTTTATCCTTGTATTATTTATTTCCTAATTGATTTTACATTGCTTTGTAATAATTATCTCCCTTCATCAGTTGTCTTTCACAAAGTTGTTTCAAGAAAAATTAAAACTCTTAGATCAAATTCCCATACATCAAAAAAATATTTATGTTTTCATAATTTTCTCAACAAGCTTGTAAATATTTCGGAAATAATATACTTTGTTCTCCTGCCAAAAGGTAATTTTGAAATATTTCAAAAATAATAACAAACTTGTTGATACCATTTTAAGAACATCAACATTTTTTTTCTGAATGGGAAATGATCTAAACAAATGGTTTGGTTAATCTACTACTGGAACTATTCTACATAAAAAATGTTAATGATTACTCTTGACTGAATTTGGAGTTTTATCTCAACGTTGGCTCCGTAATTTATTTTGTTTCTTAACAATGGCACAGCACCTATAAGAACGTTTCACGACAATGGGTATCCTAAACATAATATTTTATGTTTTTTTGTAATTCAAAATAAATTTAAATAACTATATCTTTATCCCTGACCCATAACAATGCGATCACCGTTGTAGTATATTGAAAGGCTAAAATAAATAAATAAAGCAAAAATACTTAAAACTAAGCACCAGCATTATGTCCTTAAGGATAACAGCACCTATTGAATGTTATTATTATTACAATACACTAGATAAAAAAAAATAGACAATAATTATTACCATAATATTACAGATTATATAAATATAATATTTACACAACGTCTCAATATAGGAGTAAAAATTAAATGTCGAAACACAACATTAAAATATATTATGTTATATGATATAACAATATAATATTCTTTGGTGTATAATAATAGTCATGGTTGTTCTTAACAGTGTACTCGATTTTGTGTCGGATTTAGGTCATTTTTATTTTAAATATTAATACAAGCCCGTAGTAAACAACAAAAAACTATGTGAAACATGTCAAATGCGCTTAATTATAACGATGGGAAATGAGGTTAAATATTTGACGCTCCTGTGCGTTATATACATACACACAAAGGGTTTGCATAATATGTTTCCAATATATTGTAACAACAACAACAACAGCCCGTATTGTTCGCAATAGTTGGAATAGTCTTCATGTTTTTAGATATACATGTAGGAAGTTTCGCAGAGATCTTTGGGAAGTTCCGAATAATTGAACAAATCGTTTCGAGTCGTCGGTTAATTGCACAACAAAGCGGTCTCTGGTAAATTTTTTTTATTAAAAAAATACATCCGTTTTCGTATTCTATACTCGGTGAAAGCGTTTGTCTGTAATCTATAGTATATTATGTTAACCGATCGCAGGTGTAATTGAATACGAGCTCCGTTAGCCGTAGTGCAATTATTACTATTGTATGCGTTATTAATAATTAATAATCTATTTATTGCTCACGGTCAAAATCAACGACAAACCGCAATGTTATTGAGGTCCACGGAGCTAATATAATAACACAGGCATACAGCCGCCGTTGTTGTTGGACAATATAGGGCCCATAAGTGGTCTGCCGTTTGAAATAGGAAAGGAGACGAATTCAATGGCGGAGTGAAAAAAAATGTTTACCTTGGTGGCTTGCAACACCGAATACGGTCGCTGGCGTTAACGTTAAACATTTTCAATTTATTTGTACGAACATTTTCAACGAGCTTAGCCATACAGCTTACTAGCGGAGAGTTATCTGGCACCGCAGAGGAACATTGGTATCATAATATTACGTTATTGTATATTCTGCACAGAGCGCGCTTAACAAGCGTTTGTGGTATGTATGCAATAGAGCTTACACCGGTACAAAACGCATTTCCAAACGAGAGGAGAACCCGGGGGTATTCGTGAGGCGCCGTCATTGTCGCCGAAGAGGCCTTGTAGTGACACGAGGGGAGGGGCCACAAACCCGAGGTTGGGCGGAAAATAAAAACACAATTAACGACATTGCAGCATAACAAATAAAAATAATGGGCTATTGTATAAGATAAGCGGTAAAACCGAGAGAAATGATTATTGATTCGATTCGATGCCGCAAAATTTGGATCCCATCCTAGTGCGGAGATTGCAAACAAATAATAATAAAACGTGTTTTTACGTCCTCCCACGTCGCACGCAGCTCGTTGGTTATTATTGCGACAACTTTATGTATTGAAAAAAAACTTTAAAAAATAATTGATGTCGTTAACTTGAAAATACATGTCCAATTATACCCGTTCTGTGTAACAGCGCACATTAACGGTAAGGAATTTTGAGGTTTAGTCGATATCGCACTCCACAGTACAGTAGACGCGGAGCTTTTCGCAATAGACAATCAATAGCTCTCAATGATTTAGACTGGATCGTATTCGAGTACGAAACATTGATATTGAGTAGTTGTTTACAATAAATAGCGACGACAGATGCCAAAATGTACACGTGTCATCAGAGACAGCGGCCGCAGACCTTAATATCACTGACCTTATAGACCGCCAAAAGCAATTAACTGTTTTTAGAGTTAGGTAAATAATATGGCGTTTCCATGCAAACTAGTGCTTATTGTATAACTTTTCACTGTAACGCGGTTTGTGCCTCCCCAAAAACCGCATCCTCGGGGTTGAACGTTTGGCAGTCGCCAGATACGGTAAACAGTCGCTTACGGATTTAATTTTCTTTTCGGCGGCAAATCGTACACCACAGACCACACCGGCACTCTCGGTCGACTCCGTACGGGTGTTAACGTATTGATTAAAATTATTTCTCTCCATCGTCACTATACCATGCATGCACCGGCATCGCCGACACCACCAAAGGCCCAAACACACTTGACCGGCCGGTTTTGTCATTGTTGTTATTCCAACCCATTCGCTCGATCCGATCCGGTCGGGCCATCTGCCGCATTCCGTTTACGGCCTCCGTAATAGGACCCTGTATTGAATAATATACCGATCCAATGGTATTTCGTGCGTCGTAACTCATAACATCAACATAGGGTTACACATGATATAGGCGTTTTATCTCTAGGTCAGATCGTAGCATGTAAATTGGATTTATGAATAATATGATGAAAAGGGCGTGCAACGTGTTATTTATATAATATCTGATGTTATATTATCATAGTGTTCAGCTACGACAAGCTTGCTTAACTAAATCAAAATCGTCATTCTGAAACTGTCGATCAAATCGGCATTTCGTTACACTGAGCTCACGCTTGGTATTGGAATACGTCAAATTTAGTATGTCTGGACAGACGCTTAACTTTTGCATCATTAGGCAAGATGGCACGTTGTAAGAAATCGTTTGTAAAAACATAAACTTTTAGCGAAACGTCATTAATAACTGTCTCCGTGCACGAGTCTAAAGCGAGACTCCCTCATGAATTCATAAGTAAAAAACAACATGGCGATAACGATTCGTTATTAAGTACTCACACAGCAATTTAAAATACTAACTATTATTTACAAAAATATACCATTGAAACATTTGTGATAATAGAATTTGATTCCTCTCAAAAATATTATATAAACATATTTTGAAAATTATTATAAAATACTGTACTATTCAAATGAAATGTTATTAAAATATATTATTGCTTTGTGCGATATAATGGATAATAAAAATAAAGTATAACAGTTCTGGTAGTAAACCAAAATAAATTACTTTGTTCTTTAATATACACAGCAATATTTAACAAAAAACAATAAACAATGCCACTTTTTGCATTTTTGGGAAAATTTACATTTCAAATTTAGTTCTCCACATTGTTGTGCGTTCTTTTATTTAGCTTTTAACGAAATTGCATTTTTAATATTAAAATGAGAGATGTACGTTTTTAGTGTTCTTACAAATCCTCTCTTAGAAAATAAACTGCTCGTATCCAGCATTCGTTCGATGGTGTTCAAACGAAATATATCTTACTAGGAGAATGAGATAATAAACATATTTAGCTTATAAAATTTGTTAGATGACTTTACTTTTCATAAATGTTTCCCACAGAAAACCATTAAATCCTATACAATAATTAATATGAGCTTTAATAAAATATTTAAAATTATTTTTATACTTTTGTTGGTTGATAGCAATGACACCCTGGAAACGTTGATAGATCACTTCATGCGTATTCGTGGATAATTTGGGTCTCTAACATATGGTCTTGGGGATTAAAAGCTACATTTTATCTTAAAAACAAATGTGTGGTGTACAATGCCTAGTGTTTTAAGATTTCACTGTCTAGTGTATGGTGTTGTTTAACAAAAATTAATTTAACAAAAATAAAACTGAATTATTTTTTTTCTCCTAAATTATAAGAAATATTTCCAAGTTTTTTTATACTTAATGAAAGTTCCAAACAATGGCAATGTCTTCTTTTAACCCCTTTCTTTGTTTTAGATTATACTTATGTCGCGTGATTAATTTTGTACTTTTTGCGCAGATGGTGAAGTGGATCGACTTATCGGGACTGGTGTGCTCGGCGAGTCGGTTGAACTACATCACAGTTGACTACGGCGAGGACGGTAAGGCGTTCGTATACGTGTCGGACGCGGCCACCAGGGCAGTGATCGTATGGGACGTGACGGCCGGCCGCGGGTACCGAGTCGTCTTGCCCAAAGCTATTACACAGGACTGCGGTAAGCGGGACGTGCTGTACATAGCTCTGGCGCAAAAGACGACCGGAAACGTTCTGTACCTGACGTACTTGAGCAGCAACCGGATGTACGCCATCAACACGTGCAACTTGCGACAGGGCTGCGCCGAGGGCACCGTCACCGACTTAGGACCCAAACCCCGCAAGCTGGTCATACTCGGCACGGACGGCAAGTCCAACCTGTTCTTCCGGTACCGCGGTCAGGGAGACATTTACGTTTGGGACACCGACACCGGGTTCGTCTCCGACAACTTCACGCTGCTGCAGAAGGCCGACGACTGTCGATTGGCCACGCACGTGCTTCCCGGCTGCAACCGTCTTATGTGGGTGGTCGAGAGCAACTTCCCGGACTTCATATCCGACAAGGTCGGCTGTTTGGGCGCCAACGTCCAGTTGCATCCGCTCGAGAAACAGAACTGTTTATCATCATCCCAAACCTATTAATTGTTGTATGTTGTTTATCGTTAATAATTTATTAAAAAAAAAACATTAAATAATAATATAAAATATAGTTTTTGTTGTTAAAAATGTTTTCGCATACGTCTGTTATGTGCATTCGGCGTTCTGTTCAACCTGGTATCGATCCATAGTAATTTAATGCGTTGTATTATAAAGGTATTAAGCAGACTCGAACGTTGTTACCTGTCGGGCGAAAACTTGTGCAAACTTTTCGAGTCGGACGAAGTAATGATTTTATGATCAGATACGAATAAACGCCCGGAACTTTCTTTGTGGACAGTATTAGAAACTTCCAAGTAGGGATTTCATGGAAACCAGCTTTTTATTTTGGCGAAAACCCCGAACGATTCCTTCATCAGACCGAGTTTGTCGTTGAAGGTTTTATCACCTATATATATATTTAATTGAATTAAATCTTACATTCATCATAAAGCATAGTCGTTCTATTATATTACTTCGCCTTACCGCGAAACGTGAAAATGACTATCTTAGAAATTCTCGACGAACACTTGAAACTTACTATCTACTTCACACTTTTAAGTACGTTTTCCTCGGCAACTTTTGTTCATTTAATCATTTGTCCACTTTTATCCTGTTATCTTTTACTTTGATCCGTTCTTTATTTTGTACAACTTTTTTCTCTGTATTTCCCCCCGAAATACTCAACTATTCGTGCAAGAAAGATCAAACGGATAGCAATCCGTTTCTACTTCAACTTACTGAGATTGTAAAGTATGTTGTCCCTTCAATGCCCGTTGCAGCAGAAATGCAACATGTTTATTATATAATTTTATTTTGTTAGAAAACATACATTTAATATAGATAGCGCTCTAGTTATTAAATAATTTAGTGTTCAAAATAATATTGTTAAAAACGTATTTAATTTTCCTGAATTGCTGATAATTAAATCTAGGTATATAAAAAACTGGGCATTGAAGGGTTAAGTTAAGTTAAGTTTGTTTTTCATTTTAAATTATACTCACGTCTATTGTCCACCAAGTCCCTTCAAATAAAGTATAACAGTTACTAAATATTGATTCCATGTTATTATTTTTTTTTCAGCGTCATTTCAAAATACACGCCTTTGTCATTTAATTATAGTCCAGTTTTCTATTTTTATCTAAACCATAAATTAACTATTTGAGCAATATCTTTCGGACATGTGTTTTTGAAACAGTAACTCGGTTATTGTAGTCACGACGACGCTGAATTATTTTGTGACTTACCTCACAAATTGTAGTAAACCATTCCACCGCGTTTATAATTAAACAATAATCCTTAACCCGTGCACCTCGGTGTATCGCGAGCGTTCGAGCCGACACCCGAAGCATAAATATTTCCTAATTAATGTGCCCTTCTTGTGCTCAACAACAACGGCACAGCTCCTCCAAGGACAAGTCTTGGGCGGCGATACTCCAAATACGACCAACCTACAATATCAATAACGCTTTCTATAATCTCGGTTGACCGGACTAACCGTTTTGCGTCCAACTCGAGCGCAATGCTGTACTATTGAATTTATTAAATAGCTTTACTGGCTGGACTATAAATTCGTATTGCACAATAAAGTTACTTAACGTTATGGCCCTCTGTTCAGCCAGACCTATACTCTACTAAAAAGTTATAACGGTGAAATAGGATTCTTCCATGAGATTTCTCTTGCAATTTCATTAGAAATAAGTCTATAATAAGTCTTTACCCGCACGGTTTGTTCTTTGGCAGTCGGCTCATTGCTGCATAAAAATACGTCTAATAGTATAGTGGATAACCAAACAAAACAGTGTGACGCGTCCGTATTGACGATACATTTCCTTACAATCATAATAACCACTTATCGTGTTATTGCAAATTATTTTATTGCTATTTTTTTAGTTGCTCCGAGGACAAAAAAAAAGTAGTTGGTTGACGATTATAATACAAACGACGACGGTAATTCATTGCCAAATTCGGTATAGAGCCTATCACAAAGGCGACAGCCCATTAGTTAGTAGGTATATTGTAATAATTATCTTTCCACGGCCATTCTCTTTCGGTGAACTATCGCCACTTCCGCTGTTGTTAGGGAGACTTATGAGTTGTGATCCGCGTCAGGGCTTGTGCTTTTTCTCTACTCATTCCGAACACACTCACACACACACGCGTGATCTGTAACGGCTTTATATAATTGTATGTTAAGCCGTCGGTACGCCTGGTCTCGATTATAATGTATTTTATTAACTTGCGAGGGCCCAGCCGACTTAGCAGAGCGCACGAATTCTCTTAGGACATAATATTATCATTCGTTGGCGCATACCGTACGATGTCAAAGATAACTAGCCGTGCCGCCTTGAACCACCACACCTTTTTTTTATGTGTTAGTACGTTGTATATAAATTCTAATCGGACGGTCTATGTTTAAAGCGTTTGCCAATAATTAGTAGGTAAGTCTATGTGTTTCTATTTTGCGCTTGTATTATTTTGTCCAGGAAACCGATTCCGTTGCACAACAATGATAGTATATTATATTATGTGTAAATATAATTATTTCGGCGCCATGTACCTACGTGTATACAAATCTGAAACGCTGTTTTTTTGTTGTTGTCCAAATGTGTAATGAAAACCATGTTTTTTGGGTCAGCCGCTTTTAATTGTGTATAATTACATACTGTTCTGACCGCCGACCACCCCCTTCTATTACAATAGCTGTATAATATTACCGGTTTACCACAAAAAAAAACCTAAATATACAATTATTATTTGCGTAAAAAGCTCATGATGACAATACTGTTTTTTTTGCAAAACGCAATAATTTCATTACATACATTATATTCATTACATTTACATAACTTACTATTATTATCTAACTTTTATAATTCATTATTTGAAGGTTACCTAAATGAAGTAATGGCACTAATAATAAAAATAATAATTATACAACAAAATAAATAAAATTATAATATCCTCGGGAACGGTTTTAGTCATTATTATGTAATTATTTAAGTAACTTAAATGTTTCTTATATTTGTTTTTCTCAAATCAATTAGTATAATAGACAAAATTAGGCAAAATCCGGATTTACAGAAATTTGAAAATCCTAAATTAGAATGCTTTAAAAACAGGATTCTTATACTTAAAACTAAGTTTACATTTTCAAAATCGTAATTTAAAAAGATTTGTACATTGAAATTTTAAAAATCCTGAAAATACTAGTTTTCCCAATTCTGCCAACGATTAAATTGTTAAAAGTGTTTAAATAAAATACCAAATTGGACGTTGAAGGATTAATTACGATTCGTTGTATTAATAGAATGTCAATAAAAAATATTCATCATATCCAATTCCGAATGTCAATCATTAGGTCGTTGGATACATGGAGTTAACATTAAATAGTAAACTCCAATGTCATTAACTTTTGGAAATATCAACTAAAATATTGTGCGAGAATATGACTCGGTTTTTTTTACAAAATTTATTCTATATAATTGTAGTTGATGATCGTTTGTTTATGATCTGCATTGGGCTCAGCGAAAAGTATTGAACAAACGTGACCCGACAGTGTCACGTAGTCCACCAATATTTGAGGTGGTTCAGTTTTGTGGTTTTTATTGTTTTTATAACTACCGATATTATTCAACACATGGTTAAGGTGATGTAACGGTTAAATAAATGTGACAATAAAATATATAATATGACATACGATAAAATATGGCATATTATGCATACGTTTTTTGGAAACACAATAAATCTAAATTATTTCACATTCTATGCATCTACATAGGTTTTTTTAAAAATAAATAAGCCGTCGAAAGACGATTTAATTTTCAAGCAATAATATTCATAATCGCACCAAGATCAAGTTTATACTCAGTTTTTATGACTGTCAGCAATGGCGTGGTAAAAACAATTTAAACCCCACTACCAATCATTGCGGTATCTAGACCCATCTTTATGGTGTCTATCCGAAAAGGTATACATCACCAGGACTGTGGCAAAATTGTCTTAGTATAAAGTCAATAACTACGCTTCTGGACGTTTGATTTAAGTTCTGGACAGAATGATTTAAGTTTTCCGGTGTCGGACGAACCCTGTAATTGTAATAGAAATTACAAGGCTGATTACATGGTTGGTTTTGCTAGCAAACGAAACGCGACATATTACACTAGGTTCCCATGCAACTTTAACGCACCGAGTAAATACACTGTACAAATTATTTTAGAACAATAGATCAAAATTCACAAAAACAAACTAAATCTATCTAATCAAGTTAAATTAGCTTAAAGACAGAACAAATGGTTGCGGTAATGACCGTCATCCGTTCGAGAGTGAGACCAACCGTAAATTCATTTATATTAACGTTGAGTTTTTTCCAAATATTATTTAATGACACGTAGCTGGTATGAATAGCAATAATAATAGGTCTGTTGATACATCGTACAATATAAAAAATTTACAATACACTTCAAAGGGAATCACATGATGGGTTTACAATGAAATGATAGGTAGATACTTCGCTCATTTTGGTAACTAATTAACGTGGCTCTTTTTTTAACCGAGCAGTTCCTTTTATCATGCTAAAGTTAAAAGCAATTTAACTAATAAATAGAGATTTTATTATAAAACCAATATGGTAGAGTAGCTGCATTTTTATATACTTTATTTTATTAGTTGTACAGTACGATATTATAGATAGTTGTTTTGTTTAGTTATAGTTCCTCTTGGCTACTTTATCAGATTACCTTAAGTTTATTACGTCAACCTAAAACACTTGGCACGGTCAGTTTACGTATTTTAATCGCCATACCAAGATCCTGTACCGCCATAATATTGGCAAATTATGGCCTATGATATACGTATAATTACCCATACAACATAATAGAAAATAACTTAATTAAAAATAACGTGAACGTGTTTTTTAAATATTTTTTAATCATAAACAGCAAAATAAATTAATATTTATACTATATTTAAAAATGTAAATACTTGTTTGTTTGCGATTATATCGATCA